ATTCATCACTTTAAAGCACCATTTTCACTCAATCCATTGCCTCAAAAGATCCTTCAAGCCAGGCACCGGTGGCTCATGCCTGTAATCCTAGCTACTCAGGAGGCTGAGATCTGAGGATAGCAGTTTGAAACCAGCCCATGCCTGAAAGTCTGTGAGTCTGTAATCACCAATTAACCACCAAAAAACCGAAAGTGTCACTGTGGCTCATGTGGAAGAGTGCTCACCTTGAGCTGAAGAGCTCAGGAACAGCACCCAGGCCCAGAGTTCAAGCCCCACGACCAAAAAAAAAAAAAAAAATCCTTCAACAGTTCATTTAGCCTAACTTTCAGTCTGATTTTTAAATCAAAACTCATGAACTGAATCGTATTTTTTTTCCTTACAAGCACTAAGTTGTTTATAACACTTAATTCTCTTATCTTCCATTTTCTTATCTATAAAATGGGAATAAGAAGATTGAGTTGTATAAGGATTAACAAAACAAAACATGTAAAAGATTAAACATGTAATACCTTAATAAATAGGTTTTATTGTTCTAAACTTGATTCACAAGCTTTCTTTTTTTTTTCTTTTTTTTTGGGGTCCAGTTGTGGGTCCTGAACTCTGGGCCTGGGCGCTGTCCCTCAGCTCTTCAGCTCAAGGCTAGCACTCTACCACTTGAGCCACAGCGCCACTTCCGGCTTTTTTTTCTTTTTTGCTTATGTGGTGCTGAGGAATCAAACCCAGGGCCTCATGCATGCAAGGCAAGCGATCTACCACTGAGCCACCTTCCCAGCCCGATTCACAAGCTTTCTGTTTTACATAATGTATATATGATTCTCCTATGAAACCATTGAGATTTTGGTCTCAATTCACATTCTTATTCTCCACTAAGAATAAGCACTTACCCAGGCTCTAGTGGCTCATGCCTATAATCCAAGCAACTCAGAAGACTGAGATCTGAGGATCTCAAAGCCAGACTAGGCAAAAAAAAATCTGTGAGACTCTGCAGGGGGGAGGGGGGCGGGGGAGAATGGGAAAGGATGGGAAGGGGAAACAAAGGAGGAGGCAACAATGCTTGATAAGAAATGTACTGTTACCTTGCCCATGTAATTGTAACCCCTCTATGTGGTATTTTCACAATTAAAAAAAAAATTCTGTGAGACTCTTATCTCCAGTTAACCATCAGAAAATGGTAAGTGTGCTCAGGGACAGCACTCAGGCCCCAAGTTCAAGCCCCACAACCAGCAAAAAGAAAAAAATAAGCACTCTAGCCTATCTGCTGTAAGAGTCAATGTGGTTCCATTCTTATCTTCAAAGCTCAAGTCAAACTACACTTCCTCCAAGAAACAATGAATTTCACTCCTAGGTGTCACAGACCAATGGGAAAGAAATATTCATATTCTGGACAAGAAAATATGTTGTAATCATCAATGCATTATTTTATTTTTACAGACAAAGGTAGAGTAGTATGTGTGAAGTTAAACAGCTCTGTAGTTGGTTAAAGCTGAGCTATGAATATACCTGATTCTTAAAGTCCAACTTCTTCTTATCACATTACCATGTATCTTGGAACATAGGCATGTACATTTAGTGGATAACTATGCAACACTTATATAGGGCATAGTGTTACTATATGCTCTAACTCCATCAACAAATAACTATACACTGAAACTAATCTGTCATGAAATAACGCTTATCTTTAGGGTCTGCAATGCACTCTAACATTTTCAAGTCTCCCCCATTTCACTTCAATAAGATAAAAAGTTAGTCAGTTCCCACTATTTTTGTTTTATACTCATGATAAGGTGCAAACCAAAGCTTAAAATATACAGCTGTAAAAGATACAAGACCAATGAGATAGAAATTTATTCTCAAGAAGTATTTAATCAAGCCAGGCAACAGTGACATACATGATCTCTAATCCTAGTTACTCAGGAGACTAATATTTGAAGATTGAGATTCAAAACCAGCCCAAGCAGAAAAGTGCTGAAGACTCTTATTTTCAGTTAACCAGCAAAAAGCCAGAAGTGGAGATGTGGCTCAGCCTTGAACAGAAAAAGTTGAAGGAGGGGTTGGGAAGCTGGCTCAGTGGTAGAGCAATTGCCTTGCATGCATGAGGCCCTGGGTTTGATTCCTCAGCACCACATAAGCAAAAAGAAAAAAGCCGGAAGTGGCACTGTGGCTCAAGTGGTAGAGTGCTAGCCTTGAGCTGAAGAGCTAAGGGACAGTGCCCAGGCCCAGAGTTCAGGCCCCACAACCGGACCCAAAAAAAAGAAAAAAAAAGAAAGAAAAAGTTAAAGGACACTGCACGGGCCCTGAATTCTAGCCCCAGTACCAAGACAAAAAGGAAGCAAGAGACAGAAACAGAGTACGAAAGAGAAGACAAGAAAAAGAAAAGAGGGAGGGAGGGAGGCAAGGAGGCAAGGAGAGAAGGAGGGAGGGAGGGAAGGAGGGAGAGGGAGAGGAAGAAATTTGAATGTAAAGCAATCCTTTTCCTAACCTCCATTTAGCCTATCTTTTTGGAAAAAGAGAAAAGTATGCACCTGTTATTCAAATGAGCTTCCCTATCAAAGCATATAATCAATAAACTGTCTAGACTATAGATATAATAAATATCAAGCAACGGACAAACATTTGAATAAATGAATGTGCTACAAATTTTTGGAGGGAGAAATTGCATAGCATAAATTAGTCTCCCACCTAGTTCATAATCCTATGAGGTCAGGAACCTTTTTTTTTATAATGCTATGATTGAACCCAGGGCCTTGAACATGGTAGGGAAGCACTTCACCCCTAAGCTACAGTCTAAGCCCAAGAACAATCTTTCTGTGTAGCTGAATACATCAAGAGTTTAATATTCAATAATATGTATAGATGTTCTTTCAAAAATAATAATAATATATAGGGCTTGGAATGTGGCTTAGTTTGGTATAGTGCTTGCCTAGCAAGCATGAAGCCCTTGGTTTGTTTCCTTGGTACCACATACACAGAAAAAGCCAGAAGTGGTGTTGTGTCTCAAGTGGTAGAGTGCTAGCCTCAAGCAAAAGGAGTTCTCAGGGACAGTGCCCAGGCCCTGAGTTCAAGCCCCAGGACTGGCAAAATAATAATAATATATGGCCAAGCACTGGTGGTTCATACCTATAAGCCTAGCTACTCAGGAGGCTGAGATCTGAGTTTCATGTTTCAAAACCAACCTAGACAGGAAAGTCTGTGAGACTTATCTCCAATAAGCTACTGTGGCTCAAGCGTTAGCCTTGAGCACAAAGAGGCTCAGGGAGAGTGCTCAGACCTGAGTTCAAGCCCCAGGACCAACCAATATAACTGGAGCTGGAGCAATATAGCTTAATGGTAGAACACTTACAGAGAATACATGAGGCCCTTTAGTTCAGTCACCAGCACTAGGGGGGAAAAAAACTCTAAATCATGAACTGGCCATAACTCATGTGGAAAAGCCGACAGAGATAAGCATAAATCTTTGCCATTAAAAGCCAAGGAGGACATTTGCACTTCAAATAATAAGCTTACTATATTCCCTTGCCTTTCCTCTAGATCCTTACAACTGATTGTGGTCCCAGAAGCAGCATTACTTGGGAGTTTGTTAGAAATGAGGACTTAGTCCCACCCAGACCTGACTCAAAAATCCCATTGAACCTGATCCCTAGGGAACTGCCAACACACAAGAAGACTCACCAGTCTAGACCATAAAAATGAAGCCTGGCTCCTGCAACCTCAGAGAAAGTTACCATTTTCTGAGCTATCCAAACTATCCGAACTTTTCAAGTACACTACAACTACAGCACAACACATTTTCAAGCTATTCAGATATAAATCCAAATTGTAAATCCAAATATTACTTGAATGAAAAAGTATATGACCAGTCACTAAATATTAAATGGAACATTTAGGAAATATATAAAAATTGTGACCTCCTCCTTCTTTAGAACAGATTCTATAAGAAAGAAAATGAGATAAGGAACCTCAGTGCCCAGTAAATAAATCTTTAATACCAAGGAGAAGGTATACTAAAGATGTTCATGGGAACATTAAGAATAGACATTTTGTAATACTCTTCAGTCAGTATTAGACATATGTATTTCCATAGAGTCTCTATAAACTGCCATACATGTGAAGCTTACAATAAAACAAAACATAAAATAAAAGGTGACAGGGCCGGGAAGGTGACTCAGTGGTTAGAGTGCTTTCCTTGCATGCATGAGGCCCTGGGTTCAATTCCTCAGCATCACATTGAAAAAAGCAGGAAATGGCGTTGTGGTTCAAGTGGTAGAGCGCTTGCCTTGAGCTGAAAAGCTGAGGGCCAGCGCCCAGGCCCTGAGTTCAAGCCCCACGATCAACAAAAAAATAAATAGATAAATAAATAAAAGGTGACAGAAGTTACATCTCCACAACATTTGAGTGACTTAAAGACAGAAACCACTCTTTAGTAATTAATCTCAAGCCACAAATCGCCTGTAAACTGGTATTTAAAAATAAAATAAACTTGCAAAACCCTGAAGGTCGCAATCCCATCATCCAAACAGGATCTGTGGTTAACAGGCACTGAGGGTCAACTCTGCCCTTTTCTCCCCTTGGAGAAGGGGAGGCACACAGTAAAGTGGGGAAGGAGGCCAGAAAAGACGGTCGCCACCCAGATCTGCAGACCTGCGCGAGGTGGGAGAGTCCGGGCGTCCCAAGTTGAGAGCCCAGCCTCTTTGCAGCAACAGGCGTGAGGATGACAGCTTCACCCCCCCGCACCCCACCCCACCCCCTCCCGCGCCCCCGTGCAGGCCGCGGACCCCGGGAACCGCGCGGCCCCCAGGAGCGAGCCCCGTCCCCTAGCCGCCCCCCGCCCGCCCGCAGGATACCGCTGGACCTCCGGCCTCCCCGGAGCTGCGCGGTCCCCCCAGAATCCCCCTGGAGCTGAGCGGCTCCCCGGAGCGAGCCCCACCCCCAGACCCCTGAGGTGCCGCGGGACCCCCCGGCCCGGGGGTCCGGGCGGCGCGGCGGGCCCGCGGGGGTCTCACCAAGTACAGGGGCGCGTAGATCTTCAGGGACTCCTCCAGCGCGGCCCACGTGATCTGCACGAAGGACACCCGGCAGGAAGGGTGCCAAGTGTGGCCGATCTCGTAGCAGTTGTGAGGGATGGACTTGCTGAGGGCCGCCATGACGAGGAGCCGCGCGTCGCGCCCGGGAAGGAAACCACTAAGGCTCTCGAGGGAGCGGCGCGGCCTGTCAACCGTCGCCCGCTGGCTGTGAGGGGCGCTCGAGGGGCAGGATGGAGGGGAAAGGTCACGCGAGCCGGGTTACTCTGGGCCAAAGTCCTCGGATGTTGAGAGCTCCGCGTATAGCCGCTCGAGGGGGCGGGGCGCGCACGGGGGAGGCGGGGAAAGGCGGAGCGTGCGCGCTCGCTCCCTTGCCCGGAGTGGGGGGCTCCCGGGCGCGCTCCTGAGGCCTCGGCGCGCGCCACCCCGTGGAACCCGGAGCGACTCCGGAAGCGGAGGAGACAAGGTCCTTGGCCGAGAGGGAGCGCGCTGCTCGAGCTGGCGGCACAGCTCGGGAATGCGCCTACCTCCCCATCCTCCGCGCGCTACCGCGGGCTAGAGCGCCTGCACTCCGGCGAGAGCGCGCTAAGATAGGTGACTTAGGCCAAATTGCCCTGCCAAGTGGGACTGAGGGTACTGGAACAAAGGATTAAGTGTTGTTGGGAGCTAGCTGGAAGGTTTGCCAGAGGAAGGCCTGTAGTAAACATGCTCTGCCAGTTCCCCCTTCACAGTAATAAATTGCTATGCTGCCTGCTGGTTGCAACTGACCTGCTCCTAGTGGCTAAACCCCCTAATCTCTGGGGTGCCTAGGAAGGATTTAAAAATCTCAGATAGCTGTGTTTACCTATCTACCATGTAGGGAAAGGACAGCAGGTCACCCTGTCCAAACCCCAGCCACTGAACAAATCACATCTACATCGTCTATGTTAACTTTGCAGTCTCTTTGTAATTCTAAATTCTAGTTTCCTAAAGCAGAAAGGTACTGCATTTAGAGGAGTCTCTGCTAGTCAGCATTTATTCTACAATTATTCGGACAGTATTTTCCAAGCACTATTGTAAGCCCTGGAAATACAGAGATAATGTTTGTATAAAGTTCACAGAAACTAGTATTCAAGAGGATGAAGTCAGACTATAAGGAAGACAAGTAGATTAGATAATAAGTTTTAAGTTGTTGGAAGGAAGTAGAGTAGCGGGATGAACAGCCCTAAGTTACTGATAAAAAGATAAAAGTGAATCTCTGGGATACAGTCCTAGGCTAAGAAATTCCAAACTCTCCACCAGGTTGCTCCACCAACTCTCACCTATTACTTCTATTCTGACTTACAAAATGACCACATAAGCTAATATGACTTCTACATGCTAGCCAGGAAAGCCAGAGAAAGGAGAAAGAATGATATAAAGCTGTTTAGCAGAGTATCTCAGGCCAGTTTTGATGGTACACACCTGTAAGGGTCATGAGTTTGAGAACAGCCTGGGCTGCATAATGAAACTGAAAAGAAACTTCTCAGAGGATCCATACATGGGCTGGGAATGTGGCTCAGTGGTAGAGTGTTTGCCTACCATGCATGAAGCTCTGGGTTTGATTCCTCAGTACCACATACACAGAAAAAGCTGGAAGTGGTGGTTCAAGTGGGTAGAATGCTAGCCTTGAGCAAAAGAAGGTCAGGGATAGTCCTCAGGCCCTGAGTTCAAGCCCCAGGACTGGCACAAAAAAAAAAAAAAAAAAAAGCAACTGACATTCAGAGAATCCATACAAACCACTTCTTATGTCCATTGACCAAAGTAACATCACCTGTTGCAAGAGAGTCCAGGAAATGTTCTTTTCTTTTTTTTTAATACATTGGACAAATGTCCACCTAACATTTCCACAATGGAAAGTACAGACATTGAGGCAACCAATAGTTCTATGCCTCTGACTACCCAAGTGTCTGGATATATCATTTCTTCCTACAGAGAAATAGACTTTCCTTTCCCAAGGGAGACAGCCTAAAATCCTATGCAGTTACTGAAGGATTGACTCCCTCCTTATTAGCCCAGGTTAAGCAAAGCACCAGATATACCCTTACCTGCTTGCCTGACGGTAGGCCATTCCCACCTGGGCCCACCCAAAAGTCCCCATCACCCCAGGCTGAACATTCCACTCTGAGCCTGGCCAAGGACACTGCCCAGACCATAGCCCCCTCAAACCATAGCCTCCCCCCCAACCCACAAACATTCCATTCTGGCCCTGGCCAAGATATCACCCGGGGCCCCCCAAGAGACCACAACCCATTTTTTTATTTTCTGCTTCCTTGTTAAGACCCATGTAAACCCAGTCCCAAATCCAATCCCTTGCACAATCTCCAAACTGAGTGAAGGTCTGAGCCCTTCACTGGCAATAAACAGTCCTAGCCTGTTGAAAATGGAGTCCGGCCTATTCCTTTTCTGTTCTCCTCCATTTTTCTAACAGGTACCATATTCTGTCACAGTCCACAGATTTCTATAAGACCAGATACAATTCAAATTATTTCCCCTCTTCAACACACACAATAAACCAGGCTGAAATGGGAACAAGGTAACCAAATTTTTTTTAAAAGATCTCAAGTCAGAAAGTGAGATCTAGAGCACATAGTATAAATTAGCAATTACAAAAATAGCAATACAGGTTTCTCTTACTTAACTTCAATATTCCATTCTTGAATGCATGATGGTATGCAAAAAATGCTAAATGGGAGCAAAAAGGAAAATAAAATGCATTACACATCAGCCCCAAAAATTTTGTACAGATATTTAAAGTAAAATATCAAGTATGAGCAACAAACTATCTTGTTTTTAATGGTGATACACAAGATTTTATTTATATTTTTTTTTAATTTTTTTTATTTATTTTCTGGTCCTGAGCCTTGAACTCTGGGCCTAGGTACTATCCCTAAGCTCCTTTTGCTCAAGGCTAGCCCTCTACCACTTGAACTATAAGTCTACCTCTGGCTTTTTCTGTGATTAATTGGAGATAAGAGTCTCAACAGACTTTCCTGCCCCACCTGGCTTTCGAACCCCGATCCTCCTATCTCAGCCTTCTGAGTAGCTAGGGTTACAGGCATAACTTGGTACAATCAAAATAGCATTTTTTTTGTTTTTTTTTTTTGTTTTTTGTTTTTTGTTTTTTGTTTTGTTTTGTTGTTTTTGCCTGTTCTGGCTTTGCAAAGTGAGAAAACCAAAGACACATTTTAAGAGATGAAATCTTGGAGTCTTTATTAAAAGATTGCATGGTAGACTCCTGTCTCAAAGACCAACAACCAGCAAATACAGTTAGCACTGTTAGGAAACTGAGTCATGAAGGCCAGAGAGGAAAGAAAGAACAAAAACAATACCAACAAACCAATTCAGCTCCAATGGAGAGCTGAAGTGGGATGCCATAGTGACTGGAGAAGAGCCAGGAAACAAGACACAAACACGGAGACACATGGCATACCATAATGGCGCCTGAGCTAGTCAGGGCCTAAATAGGATCAGATCAGGGGACAGGGTCACAGGAAACTCCCAGTCCCAGGCACTGGACTGACAGGGTTAGTAAGCTATTGGCCAAATGCCCATTGTGCCACCAGGGATTCAGGCATGCCCATCACCTAGGGGGTGGGGGGCTTCACCTTTCCCCACCATGAGGACTAGATGCCAGCCCCTACCATCCACCATGTGGCCAAGATGGCACTGACCAGAGCCGATCACCCTATTTCATTGGGGATTGAACTCAGGATCTCACACACTTGCTTGGCTTTTCATGCTCAATGCTGGCATTGTACCACTTCAGCCACAGCTCCACTTTTGAATTTTTTGTGGATAAAAACCTCACAGTTGGGGCTGGGAAGGTGGTCAGTGGTAGAGCGCTTGCCTTGCATGCCTGAGACCCTGGGTTTGATTCCTCAGCAGCATATAAGCAAAAAGAAAAAAGCTGGAAGTGGCGCTGTAGGTCAAGTGGTAGAGCGCTAGCCTTGAGCTGAAGACCTGAGGGACAGCGCCCAGGCCCAGAGTTCAGACCCACGACCGGACCCCCCAAAAAACAAACAAACAAAAAAAAAAACCTCACAGTTTTCTGTCCACAGTTGGATTAGAACCACCATCCTCACATCTGAGCCTCCTGAGAAGCTAGGATTAAAGGTGTGAGGCATATGTGCCCTCATGGGCCATTTATTCTTCCAAACTGGCTCTGACAGTGACTTGACTAAATACCCTCCTGAAAGTTGATTATTTCTTCTTTTTACAATACTCAGAATATAAAATTAGCCTAGATGCCTATCAACCCATGAATGGAGAAAGAAATGTGGCATATATACACAATAGAGTATTATTCAGCATGAAAAGAATGAAATTATATCATTTTCGGGAAAATGGCAGAAACTGCTATGTCAAGCAAAATAAGCCAGACTGAGAAAGATAGATATCAAGTGGTCTCTGTCATATGTCCTTAAAAACAACTGACACAGCTGGGCCTTAGTGGCTCATGTCTGTAATCCTAGCTACTCAGAAGGCTGAGATCGGAGGATCACGGTTCAAAGCCAGCCCAGGCAGAAAACTCTGTGAGACTTATCTCCAATAAATCACTCAGAAAAACGGAAGTGGCTCTGTGGCTCAAGTGGTAGAGTGCTCCCTTTGAGCTGAAGAATTGAGGGATAGCACCCAGGCCCAGAGTTCAAGCCCCACAACCAACAACAACAATAACAACAACAAAAACTGACAGGAGTAAACCAAGTGGAAGCAAGGGAAAAGGAGAGATGAAGAAGGGCTATGAATGTGTGTATTTTGTACACAAATATGAAAATAGAACAATGAAACCTATTGAAAATGTTTTGAAAAGAAGAGAAGAGGGGCTGGGAAGGTGGCACAGTGGTAGAGTGCTTGCCTTGCATTCATGAGACCCTGGGTTTGATTCCTCAGCACTATATAAGCAGAAAAATCTGGAAGTGGCACTGTGGCTCAAGTGGTAGAGCACTATCCTTGATAGTGCCCAGGTCCAAAGTTCAGGCCCCATGACCTACAAAGAAAAAAAAAAAAAGAGAGAGAAGAGGTAAGATGACAGGAAGTAGTAGAGTGGAGTGAATTTGTATACATGTGTGGAAATACCACAAACTCTTTTCATAGTTAATACATACTAATAAAATATAAAAATAAAGAACAACAGATATGTGTGTATGTATATTTGAACATATTTTCATTGAATAAAGTGATCACACAATAAAAAAGATGAAGAGCTCTTCTTCCTTTCCCTTTATGTGCTACCATAGTGTTTAATTTTTCCCAACTTTCATACAGTATTCTTGGATTCCAACAC